AGGCATTTTTTTCTTTTAACCATGCCAAGGGAGTGATGGGTGGCATAACCCCTCCCTCTCAGCGCTTGGTGGCCAGTCAGGCCTAGCATCTGACCCAGACCCGGCCCCTGCCCCACAGCACCTATGGGGGCTCTAGCAGGGCCTGTGGAGCTGGGGCAAGGGGCCCCAGAGCCAGCTCTTGGCAGCAACGGGGCTGGGCTGAGACATTTGGCTGCCAGGGAGCTGGGGCTGCAGGGGGCCAGGGTGTTCTGGCCCTGGAGCAGGCTCTTGCTGGAGGCAGGGGTGTCAGACTGGCCCAGCCAGCGTGGGTGGTCATGTTCAGAGGCCACCACAGCTGTAGTGGGAGAACCCCTGGCCTGTGCCAGGCTTTAGCTGTTGCTGCCTTGGTCCCCCCATGGGCCCTTTCCAACCCAGCCAGCACTTGTCTGGCCACGTCCTCCCTGGCCAAGCCCTCCAGCTAGTACATTTCCTGCAGAGGGCCCCGGCTGCTGCTTTTGCAGGCGTTCCCTGCACTGTGCACCATCCCCACTGGATTCATTGCTACTACTAACCTAACGCCAGGCTCTTCCAGGGCTCCCCGGGGAACCATGCAGGGCTCAACACTGCAGCTCGGCACTAGGGCAACACTGCTGCTGGCAGGGGTAATCTTCCCCTTTCAGACTGGTGATGGGGAGCACTTAACACAGTCCCAGGAATCAGCTGGTCCCAGGGCCTCCAGCACAGCTGCTGCTGGCAAGACTGAATTCTGCCCCCCCCCCGCTGGGTTTGCACCCAGACCATACAGGGCAGGAGGCTGGGTTGGTGCCACAGGGGTTGCACTAAGGGCATGTCTGTTAAACTCCCCCTGGAAGCCAGAGAGCAGGCCCTGGGCTCACTGATTTGAACAGCCTGGCTCCAACAGCCAGATGGTCCCACAGCCCCCAGCTGCTACACCCACCTCTGCTGCTGGAAGAATGAAGAGCCACTGCTGCTTCCCCAGCACCAGCTGCCAGCAGAGAGCAGGAGAGACCATGGCACACACCTGGGCTGGCCTGACCCGGCTCTGGTTCAGACTTACTGCCCGGCCACTTGTCTTCAGGCTAGCGGCGAGATCAGGAAACCAAAGCAGCTTTGATTTATTCTGAACCTAATTACAGACACCTTTATGCTTGATTAGCAGGCAGCCTGACCAATTACAGCTTAGCAGGTGGCACTGGCAAAGCACAGGGATCCACAGAGGACAGAAGTAGGGCTCAGTCCAGTTTAAAAAATATTCAGTAGATGATGCAGAGGCAGCATGGAAGCATCCAGGTACCTCAACCTACAGGCACAACCCTCCTCCCCCTGCAAACCTCCAAGAACCGTGCTGTTAGAAGAAGCTAAAGGGAGGTTCCCACTAGGCAAGACTGCCCTTGCTAAACTCCTTCAGCGGTGGACCGGAGGGGGGCTCAAGGCTGCAGTTCTGGGATCTCTAACTGCAGGGAGGAATGCTAGAAGCACGGGGCAGGGGTTGTCTCATTCTTTGTATCTTTGGAGCCTTTGAGCAAAGAATCACTCTGGTCCCCAAGCACAGAGCTCCTGCCCATTCCAGCCCCCACCGGTCTGCTCCCTGGCTGGCTGAGATGACTAGGGGTGAGTCCCATGTCCTGCGAAAGACAGGTACCTGCCGTGCACCAATGCACCACGTTTCTCTGACACATGAGCCAAGCTGCCTGGTGATTTGGCCGGTCGGAGCTGTCTGCGCCCCACTTCCCTTCCCCTCCCACAATCAACTTCCACCTCAGACAAGCTACATCTCTCTCCACCACCCTCTCTCAGCCCCAGGCCCCCCCAGGCAGTGGCTCCTCCACCCCCCCAAAGGAAAACGCCGCGTCTCCAAGGAACCTCCGGCTGGCACTGGCCGACAATCACGCCGGCTGCGGGGCACCGCTCACTTGCGGGCAGTGGCGTAGTGCGTGTTGAACCAGTCGCACGTTTCCTTCACAGCTGTGGGGGAAGGGGGGGGCAGTTAGACCCCAGGCAACGGGGCAGGCAGCCCCTCGGGGCTCTGCGTGTGGCGCACTGGGCCGTCTGTTCACCACTGCCCTCGCACGGGGGCAGATTCCGCTGGCTTGCCTAAGCATCCTTTTCTCCCTACGGGTGTTACTATGGTGACCCCAGAGCCAGGGCACATGCGGGAGGTGCGTGCTGATTGGATGCAGAGGGAGCACATGGCGCGCCCTGTCAATGCTGTGTCCAATCCCAGCACTGCTATTGGCATCGCCAGCAAACGTAGGTACGCAAGCGCCGTCAGCAAAAACACCCTGTCCCAGGCAAGTGTTGTGGTTGCCACGATCTGGTGGCCCTCAGATGGACTAGCCCCCACTGCCCTACAGCCTGAAGCATCCCAGCCTGCGGCAGCCCCATCGCTGCACAGACCTGGCCCTGCCACTAGGGCTGCTGCCTCAGTTTCCCACAGCCTCTCTTCGATTGCTTGGTGCATGCACCCCGCGATGCCTGGGGCTGAGCTCCCAGCGCCCACCAGAGATAGAACGCCTCCCCGCGCACCCTCCCCACCCCCGCGGGAGGCAGCGGGGAGAGGGGGGCAGAAGTGCCAGGGCGGTGCCGGAGCAGCGCACCATTCCGGCCTTACCTCGTTTGAATGGCGTGAACTGGAAATCGGGCAGGTGCCGCCTCAGCTTGCCGTTGCTGGCTGTTTTCTTGAACTGCCCGTCGGATTTTGTGGTGTCGAACTGGACGCCGAGGGGGGGGGGCGTGAGGGAAAACAAGCTTCTACCTGTTTGAGCCTCCTGCCGTGCGGGGGCGCCCCCTACTGGGAGCAGACAGGCAGGACGAGAGCAGGGACCGTGGTAGCAAAGGTCGACTTTGCCCAACACAAAGGTGGGCAGCTGTCCTGTTCCTGACCTGAGCCTTAACCAGAAGGTCTTGCTGGGGAGTTATTCCTGAGCAGCCGGGCGCAGGGGTGAGCAGAGAGTGATCCCACGGGGGCATCCCTTGCGCCCGTTGTTTGCAGGCAAGAGGGGAAGCAGCTAACAGTACAGGGGCCCCTAGCTCCATCTGGAACGTACCACGAATGGAAGACGTCGTCTCCCAGGGACGCCCGGTAGCGGAGACCTCAGTGGCCTGAACTGCCAAGCCCAGAGGACCCCCGGGGAAGCGGCGAGAGGCCGGCGCACACGCCACTTCAACCTGGGCCAGACCTAGCCCTGGAGAACACGCAGCTGGGAACAATCATGCACCGGCTCAGCTGGGAACTCCCGAGATGTTCAAATGTGACCAGGCGCCCCCTCCCAGGGTGCACATGGGAGTTGGGGGCCCTGAGAGCCGGGCACAGCTCAGGGTGGCAGGGCACCAGAGCCGCCGTTCGGCCTCGGCGGTGTCAAAAGATACAATCAGCTCTCCCCGGAAGTCCATGGCTTCCACCACGCTCTCCGCAGCTTCCCTTATAGACACCTCATCCTCTTCTCCAACTGCACAGAGAGCCAGGGTGAGCCGGGCCCCTGCCGCCCACTCGCGCTGTCCCCGGCGCCTCCTTCCAGAGGCGGGGCTGGGGGCTCAGGACCTGCAGCC